CTGTGCTGTGCTGGGGTGGGAGCACCTCCTCTGTGCTGTGCTGGGTGGGAGCACCTCCTCTCCTCTGTGCTGTGCCGGGTGGGAGCACCTCCTCTGTGCTGTGCTGCGTGGGTCCTTCCCAGCTCTGCCCAGCTGGAGGCTGAGGTGTCCGGAACCCAGGCCCTGCATCTGCCTGGTCTTGCCCAGCTTTCTAGCCACTGGGAGGCCAGGTAGCTGAGCAGGGAGAGGGGTTACGCCAGCCCTCAGCTCTTTCCAGCCCTGATGAACACAGGTGCGTCCATCTGGAACTTCATGTCATTGAACTCCAGGACTCCTCAGCCGCCAGGGAGGACTGGACGCTCTGAGTCTGGTTTCCGCAGGAGTTGGCCCGAGGTGGAGACATCTGACCACTGGTGATGAAGCTGACTCCACTCCCTCCATCCCACCAGGCCAGGCAAGGTAGAGCCAGAGAGGGCATCTGAGTGAAGGCAGGGCCCCTTCACAGTGTGGCCCCTGGTTCCCCAATCTCTGGGGTCCGGAGGGGCTGCGGGCAGCCTGGGGCAGAGCCTAGGGCCGCAGGAGGAGAGACTTCAGCTGCCCTCTTCTTGGGGCTCTGGCCAAACCCCAGCGTCTGCAAGAGGCCAGACCCAGCTTTGCCCAGGGCGCCTGTGGAGGGTGGGCTTCCCAGGCCTGTGCACCCCCACAGAGGGGCTTGGGGCCCACTTCCATGGGGCAGGGAGTGTGCAGCGTGTCATTCTCCCTAGAACACCTCACCTCTGGGAAAGCTGTCACTGGCTTTGAGCCAGCTTGCTCGCCTGGGACCGTGTCCCCTTCACCATCTTGGGCAGGCTTGGCATGGGCTCGGGCGTGCTGTGGGACAAGTCAAGCCTGGGGGCTCCTGGCTGCCTGGCCTCCACCTCAGCCCACCTTCACACACAGCTCAGCACGAGCCTGTTCTGGACACCAGTTCCTTTAAAAGGAGGAAAAGGGGAAAATATAATCTAAAAATGCAAAATGACAAAGTGCTGGCCTTCAGCTTTTGCGGCCACTGGTGGAAACCGTGCCAGCCTCCCGGCAGCTCGGGAGGGTCAAGGTTGCAGGCTCTGCTGCAGCTCACAGTGCCACGTTGTGGACCCACGAGAGACCGCGCCACTCCGGGACTGCGCTCCTGCACCAGCCACCGCCTCCGGCCCGCACCACAGAGGTCTCGTCACATTCTTAGAGCTTGGGAACGGCCTGCTTCACCTTTCTATGACCTAAAATTAACACTCAGAAAGCCTGAAAGCTCCTTAAAATATGACCTTTCCCCTCCCTCTCGGAAACCTTAGTCCGTCTCCCTGCCAAGGACTGGGGGTTAGACCCGGAGCAGATCAAGGACCGGCTTTCCCAGAGACGCCTCGGGGCCCACCCTCTCGTCCCTCCGGGCGGGCGATAAAGGGTGATGGGAAAGCGCACCCCTCGCCCCACTCGGTGCCCTTCCTGCTCCCTGATGACACCAAAACGGTGAAAACTTTTAATCCCACCCTGGACACAAGTGTTGCTCTTGGCTCCAGAACGACATAGTAAGAGTAATTAACAGAGGGCCAGAGACCTAGGAAAACATGAGGCTACGAGGACCCTTTACGAGAGGCTGCGGCACCCCACCCGGCTCGCTCTCCAGCAGAACGGCAGCGGCTCCCGAGAACAGAGGCAAAGCCACGCACCTTTCCAGACGGCAAAGCCATGCACCTTTATGCCAGAGAGGCGTGGCATTCCCTAAATGCCGAGTCATTCAACAGCAAAGCCTCTCTCGAAGGCAGGGCAGACCCAAGGGCAGGAACCAACCTCCCGCCGTGCGGTGCAGGGGACCACAGGTGTCTGGGTCACCTTTCTGTCAACTGCGTCAGGTCTAGACCCAGCTGTTGGGAGGTGAGGTAGACCCAGCAGTCCCGGAGGGCTCCCCCAAAAAATATCAGACCCTTTGTTCATCTACAGATTCCCCAGCAACGGCAGCGTTTTGGAATCGCCCCAAAGCCCCGTAAGATTTATGTTTTTAGTTGGGTATTTCAATATTACAGATGATTTACATTTAAATAGTATACTCTTCCTCACCCCGTCCCTCCCTCCCTCCTCCTTCCTTCCCTTTCTCTCTCTCCTTCCCTCCTTTCTTCCTTCTTTCCTTCTTTCCCTTTCTTTCTCTCCCTCCCTCCCTCCCTCCTTTCTTCCTTCTTTCCTTCTTTCTCTTTCTTTCTCCTTCCCTCCCTCCCTCCTTCTGTCTCTTCATCTTTCTTTCTTTATTTCATTTGTTCATTCCCTTTTCTTTCTGAGAATCTCACCCTGTCACCCAGGCTGGAGTACAGGGGCATGATCTCAGCTCACTATAGCCTGGACCCCCAGGCTCAAGTGATCCTCCCACCTGCCACTATACGTGGCTATATTTTTTTTAGAGATGGGGTCTTGTTATGTTGCCCAGGCTGGACTCAAACCCCTGGGCTCAAGTGATCCTCCTGCCTTGGCCTCCCAAAGCATTAGGGTTACGGGTGTGAGCCACCATGCCTGGCTATACACCTTTTAAATGTTCCTGCTCACATTTGGTGAGCAAGAAGCCCCTATCTGAGGTTTGTCACTGTTTTCTGAGAAGCACATGGGGTGTGGAAGGAGGGGCCCCGGGGAGAAAGAACGTCAGCGTTTCACAGCACACACAGGAAAGGTGGGTGAATCTAGGCAACCCTCTGGAAGCATCTAAGCCTCCAGATCAAACAGCCCCGTAGGACTGGCGTCTGCTTGGTGCGTGCACACATTATGAACTCATCAAGTAGGCGGGGAAGATATTCGCATTCCCAGAAAACAGAGCTTGGAGGGTGTAAATCTCGTTCAAGGTCACAGGCTGAACACTGGCCAGGCCGGGAATAAAAATCAAGTCCTCCACCTGCAAGCCCTGGGCACTTTCTGCTGCAGGGCCTGGGCTTCCAGAAATCTTAGGCACCTCAAATACAGCCATGAAATGGAGAATAAAGTTTAAAGTCCCGCGGAGCGGCAATAAAAATACGTCCTGGAGAGGCGGCCCCACCCAAGGTCCCCAGGGTTGCGTTAAATGTGATATTAAGATTATGAGTGTGACACACTTGCCTGTCAGATTGGTCCTGTTCTGAGGAGGAGAGAGGTACCCAAGTTGCTGGGGTCGACGAGGTTAGGGCTGGAGAGAGGCAGGAAGCCGGGAGAAACGACACCAGCTCAGAGCAGGCCTTTCGAAGGGCGGGAATGCTGCCGAGGACACACTTATCCGTCACTGCTCAGCCATGAAGTCCGTCACTGGCTCTCAGGACTGTACTTCCAGGCCACGGCCAGGACAGCCGGCCCCTTCCCTTTCCTCCAGTCTCAGCTCGGCTGTCCCCCTGACCCCCCCACCGACCCCGGTTTCTGCCTCGCGTCCCCACGCTGGCCTCCCCAGGTCCCATGGCCCTGCCCTGAGCTGCCTTAGAGTGTGCTTGTGGAGCAGAGCTTTCCTGCCAGGCCACGTCGGAGGCCACCTGGTAATGTGCTGGAGTGGCCTGGTGTCTGTTTCCCGCCCCGGTCCGTCCCGTTGGCTGTGGCCAGCATGACTCAGTGACAGAGGCAGCCTCTTCAGAAGGTAGGGGGGGCTGCGGCAGGAACAGGGACAAAAGCAATGGAGGCCAAGTTCCCCCAGGAGTCTCTTTTTTTTGAGGCAAGGTGTCACTCTGTCACCCAGACTGGAGTATGGTGTGGCACAATCAAGGCTTACTGCACCTGGACCTCTGGGGCTTAAGCAATTCTCCTGTCTCCTTCTCCTAAGTAGCTGGGACCACAGGTACGAAATATAAAAACATTTCTTTTTTTTTTTTTGTAGAGATGGGGTCTCACCATGTTGCCCAGACTGGTCTTGAACTCCTGAGTTCAAGCAATCCTCCTGCCTCAGCCTTCCAAAGTGCAGGGGTTGCAGGGGTGAGCTGCTGAGCCCGCCTCCCACTGATAATCTTTGATGCCTCCCCTTATTGTCCCAGTGATCTTCAGTGTCAGCAGAAGGAGCAGGTGTCAGTCCGTTCAGGGCACTGTAACCAAATGCCAAGAAGTGGGCGGCTTCTTAACAGTAAGATCTGTCTCTCACCGTTGTGGAGGCTGGGAAGTCCAAGCGCAGGCAGAGCCGGTGTCTGCTGAGGGCTACTTGCTGGCTTACAGACGGCGGCTTCTGGCTGTGCCCTCACTCAGTGGAAGCGGTGAGGAAGTTCTCCGGGGCCTCTTTGGTAAGAGGCATGATTCCATTTAAGAGGGGTCTGCCCCCATGGCCTCATCGCTTCCTAAAGGCCCTTCCTGCTAATTCCGTCACGCTGAGGCGAGGATTTCAACCTATCAGTTTTGGAGCGACGCAGGTGTTCAGCCCATAGCAACTGGAAATTGCAGACAACCACCCAAGGTGGTGCATCTGCATCAGCAAAATATCTTACTTGTGCATAAATGTTTGTTTCTTACGTACACGCAAGCTTCCGGTGACGGCCTGGCCTGTTTGTGGCAGTGTGGCGTTCTGTGCAGTGGGGCGGGCTGTCACTGTTTGCAGTGGTTTGCATTCCCTTGCCTGAGGTGAGAAGATCCAGCCCTCCCCGTGGAGCTCAGAAGGGCTCCAGACAGAGAAGTGCGGGCCAAGCGGTGTGCAATGCTTCCCGTCAGAAGCACTGAGAGCCAGCCTGTGGTTCTGGAAGTCTCCCTGCCCTCTCTGCATGAGCCGGGCAACGTCCCAGGTGGAGCCGCTCCCGTCAGGTTGTTAGGGAGCAGAGCCCCGGCCCGCGGGCGGTGGAGTGAGAAGTCACTGTGTGGTTGTCAGCCCTGAGAATCAGGGATCATTCCCGCCGCATGACTTAGTCCAGCCACTCCTTAGAGCCTGTGAAGGCGTTTGCCGTAAATGTAACTTTTTTTTATTGACACATCCTCTTCCTTTTATCTGCAGTTGCTGCGTGTTCCTGTTTTTCATTCTTCAACAAAAAAGAAAAAAAAAACCTGCAGGGCGACGTGGCTCACACCTCTAATTCCAGCACTTTGGGGGGCTGAAGTGCGTGGATCACCTGAGTCAGGAGTTCAAGACCAGCCTGGCGAACATGGTACAACCCTGTCTCTACTAAAAATAGAAAAATTAGGCAGGCGTGGTGGCACACACCTGTAATCCCAGCTACTCAGGAGGCTGAGGCAGGAGAATCGCTTGAACCCGGGAGGCAGAAGTCACTGTGAGCTGAGATAGCGCCGCTGACTCTGGCCTGGGTGACGGAGCGAGACTGTCTCAGAAAAATGAATCAAAAACCAGAGTCTCTGCACTCGTTTTATGTATGTCTTCGTATGAAGCCTCTGGCGGAATCTGAGGGATGAAGGTTTAATCCTGTAGTCTCCAGTTTTTTGTTTTTTTTTTTTTTACATGAGTTTTGTCTTTTTACAGTTATGGTTATTATTAAAATAATCAAAATTGTTTCTATTATTGGATGTGATATTTCATTTACCATGATTTCCCTTGCTTTTATCTTTTCTGCCTTTTCTAAGCATGAAAACATTTTGGTTTCGCGGCTGTAGATTTTTATTGCTATTCTTGGTAGTGGTTGTCCTTTATTTTCAGTCTATATTCGGAACTCTGGATTTTTTCTCATGAAGTCTCAGGTATCTACATCCTTATTCTGAACAAGGAACGTTGTTTCCTGTGTCTTGCCCTATCTATGTTATTGTTATTGTTTATAAATGCATAAAGGCGAAGAGCATTTTTACAGCGAGCAGGCACTTTATGGGCACATTCGACCAGCTGCTCACAGAGATGGGATTTATCTCTAGTGGACTTGCTCACAGTGGCTTCCAGCCCGAGGGTTGCATCTTTCCTGGGCTTGGGACCCTTCTTGGCACTGTCTGTTCAATATCATTTCCCCACCTGCTGCTCCTCTTTCCCGGACCTCCTCCAGGACGGGCCAGAGTTGCCCGGGCGACTCTGCTGGTCTCTCACCTGCTCTTGTGTGATGCGCTCTTGGAGAATTCCTTATGTCCGTCTTTCAATTCACCCAAGATCTCTTTGCCTGCATTTGCTGAGGATTTTATTGCATTTGCTGCCTTCCTCTGTATTTCAATGAGCACCTTTTTTACTTTCAGGTTTATTAATTCGATATTTTCCATTTCCATCAGTTCTGATCGTTTCCATTTCTGCCAAGTTTTGTGTATAGTTAATTACTCTTTGTAAGCTGTGTCTCGTCTTTTCTCTTTAAGATCCTAAAAAACTTACTTTAAGGTCATTTTCCGACTGCTCTGGTCCTCTCTCTGCCCCGTGCCTCTCCACCCTCCTCCTTCTCTCCGTGCCCATACCCCTCACACACACTCAACCCTGTCTGCCCAGAGGGTTTGCATCGGCCTCTGCAGCTTCGAGGGATGCCCTCTGTGAACCAGGTTTCACGTCCCACAGAGCATCGGATAAATCACAAACAGAGTAACGGCGCTGCTGGTGCCTTACCTGGGTCCTGGACAGGAGGCTGCTTCCTCCCACATCCTGGTTCTCGAATCTGGAAGCTGAAGTCCGGGAAGCACTCGGCTGGAATTTTCCTTCTATTCCCTCTCTGGGTGGGGGTCTCTCTGTGCAGTCAGCGGCCTCTGCTCCCCACCCTGGGAGCTGTGCCAGGTCTTCCCCCACCTTGGTTCCAGACCAGAAGCCCCATCTCAGACCCCACCCACGGGTTTTGTTCTGTCTGTTTTTGGTGTCTGCGGTGCTTGGCTTGTTTTGTTGAAATGTTTTATCTAATGCTGCTGCATATTCGGAGCAAAGAAGAACCCTCAGACCATGAACTTGGAGGGCCGTGCTGTCCAGAAATCCGGAAGGTTCATTTCTTTGTTTACTTAAATCAGCTTAAACCCAACTTGGAGCCCCACCCTGTGGGGCTGGCAGAAAATGCAACTCTCTTCCCTCCTAGAGTTGGTCCAGGATCCAGAAGCTTCCATGGTGCCCAGAAAAGCTGCAGGGCAGGGAGCTGTCACCATCGCCTCCTGGGCAGCCACTCCATGCCTGCACGTCCTGCTGCCTTAGGCTGGCGGCTGTTCCTGTGCCCTGCCTGGTGCCTGGGGATCCTGGCCAGGGATGAGCGCCTCGGGCCACGACGTGGGCAGCCACGATGTGGGCAGCCGGGTGCACTCCACCCTCCCGGGCTGTGCTCAGACCTCAGGCCCTTGGGGACACCGGCCTCCTCCTCTTCCCAGCCTCAGTGAATCTCACCCTCTCCCTCCCACTCACCTCCTGGGTTTGGGTTTTTATGAAATGGGTTTAGGTTTTTACAAAAGACAGAAAGAGGCTTTGGCTTTGAGCTGCTTTGGCTTTCTGCCTGGAAAAAAATCCCCGAGGCAAAAAAATTACAAAGAGCGGAGTGATCTGCTTGAAATCGGATGAGGGAGAGAAATAGGAAAAGCAAAACAAAGATTAATATCTCCACCCACCCCCCCAAAATGTATTCCATCACACATCCCATTAGGAGCTGGCGAATGAATGGGCTGCCATTCTGAGAAGGGCCAGTTCTTGGGGGAAAGAGCTGGCTGTCGCCACATCCAGAAGCCAGGGATGTGGGGGCATCTGAGGCAGGGGCCACGGCCCAGCCGGTGGGCAGAGCCAGAAGTATCACGTCCCAGCCCCTGCTCAGAGCGGCCCCTTGGCGTCGACCACCCTGAGTTACCAGCAAAATGCCAACGACATTTTCAAAACTTGTATGCTCTGAAGCACACTGGGAGAGCGTGTGTCTATGGTTTAGAATGCTTACCAACCAAAAGCATTTTAAAAATAATTGTGTCCCTTGAAGAGTAAGCGACAATTACTAGAGACCTGCAAAGACGCCTCGTGTTCTGCAGCGTCGCCGGGTCTGTGGCTGCTGACGTCTATCCCGTTGGGTCACTGCGTTCTCCATGTGAGACGGTGGGGATGGCGGGCCTGGGGTGCAGAGGCTCAGGCTCCTCACGAACTCTGCGGGGGTTCCTGGCACGCTGCTCCCCTTCTGCCCCACCCACGACGTTTATCTGTAAAGCAAGAGTTCTGCTGGAGTAACTGGTACCACCTCCAAAAGATGTGCCCGGCAGGAACATCAGAATGTGACCCTAGTTGGCCAAAGGGCCTTTGTGCATGTAATAAGGATCTCCAGATGAGATCATTCTGGTTTAGGTGAGCCCTAAATACAATGACAAGACTCCTAGGAGAAGAGAAGGGGAGAAGACGCAGAGACACGGGGAAGCAGGCCATGTGGAGGCAGACACAGAGGCTGGAGCGATGCGTCCACTGCCAGGCTGCCCACACGTGCCAGGCTTCCCACACCTGCCAGGTCTCCCCACACCTGCCAGGCCTCCCCACACCTGCCAGGCCTCCCCACACCTGCCAGGCCTCCCCACACCTGCCAGGCCTCCCCACACCTGCCGGGCTTCCCCACACCTGCCGGGCTTCCCCACACCTGCCGGGCTTCCCCACACCTGCCGGGCTTTCCCACACCTGCCAGGCTTCCCCACACCTGCCAGGCTTTCCCACACCTGCCAGACCTCCCCACACCTGCCGGGCTTCCCCACACCTACCGGGCTTCCCAACACCTGCCGGGCTTCCCCACACCTGCCGGGCTTCCCACACCTGCCAGGCTTCCCCACACCTGCCGGGCCTCCCCACACCTGCCGGGCCTCCCCACACCTGCCGGGCTTCCCACACCTGCCGGGCTTCCCACACCTGCCGGGCTTCCCCACACATGCCGGGCTTCCCCACACCTGCCGGGCTTCCCCACACCTGCCGGGCTT